AAACCCTAACTCCCAGTGAGGCTGTATTTGGAGTTGGGCCTCTAAGGAAGTAATTAAGGTTACATGAGGTCATAAGGGCGGGGCCTTGATCTGATGGGATTAGTGTCCTTCTAAGAAGAGACACCAGAGAGCTTTGCTCTTTCTCGCAGTCTACACAAACACACACACACACACACACACACACACACGCACTGCGGAAAGGCCAGGAGAGCACACAGCAAGGAGGTGGCCATCTGCAAGCCAGGCAGAGAGCCCTCTTTAGAAACTGAATAGGCTACCACCTTCATCATGGACTTCTAGGCTCCAGAACTGTGAGAAAACAACTTACTGTTGTTTGAGCTGCCCTGCCTGCAGTATTTTGTTATAGCAGCCCGAGCAGACTAAGACAACCATGGCACACTGTGTTACAAATAGGCCCAATCTGAAATCCCCCGCTGTATTGATTCAGAACCTCCTCTGTCCCAAGATGTGAATTAGCCCAGGGCTTTCTAGAAATTTCTCATTCCCAGACTGACCTGCTGTCTTTTAACACTTACTCCACCACATTTCAAATAATACGTGACATTGTGACACTGGGAATTTCTCTGTTTGCTCTATGTTTTCTAGTTGACAGTGACTTCTGTTTTTTATGCTAACATTAATTTAGATTTGAAAATAATAACATTTTCTAGCAATTTTGTATAATGGAGATTTTCAGAGTAACCCAGTGAAGAGTGTAGGCATTACCTTTGTATATTTATGTCTAAGGAGGAGAAATGGAACCAGTAAAAAGCCTTCAAAATTCTATATTTCCTAACATTACATAATACTCTATATTTGTCAGGGTTCTCCAAAGAAACAGAACCAATCAGAGATTATACACACACACACACACACACATGAACATACAAATAAAAGGAGATTTATAATGAGGAATTGGCTCAGATGATTATGGAGGCTGAGAAGTCCCATGAGCTGCCATCTGCTGTCTACAAACTGGGGACCTGGTGCCGCAATTCCAGTCAGAGCGCGAAGGCCTAAGAACAAGGTCTTCATATTGTAAATCCCCATCCTTGGGTAGGGAAGACCAATGTCTCAGCTCAAGCAGGCAAACAGGAATAAAAAGGGGTGAATTCCTTCTTCCTCCACCTTTTTGTTCTGTTCAGGCCCTCGGCAGGTGGATGAGGCACACCCACATTGGGGAGGGCGCTGTGCTTTACTGAGTCCTCCAATTCAAATGCTAACCTCATTCAAAAACACCCTCAGAGACACCTTAAAGAGATACAAGTAGAACTACCATTTGACCCAGCAATCCCATTACTGGGCATCTACCCAAAAGAGCAAAAGTGGCTCTATGAAAAAGGCACCTGCACTCGAATGTTCATAGCAGCACAATTCACAATTGCAAAGATGTGGAAACAACCCAAGTATCCATCAATACATGAGTGGATTAATCAACTGTGGTATATGTACACCATGGAGTACTATTCAGCTTTAAGAAACAATGGTGATATAGCACCTCTTATATACTCCTGGAAAGCGCTGGAACACATTCTACTAAGTGAGGTATCCCAAGAATGGAAAAACAAGCACCACATGTACTCACCATCAAACTGGTATTAGCTGATCAACATTTAAGTGCACATATAAGAATAACATGTATTGGATGTTGGGCAGGGGAGGGGGAGGGGGGAGGAGGGGACGGGCATATGCACAAACAATGAGTGCGATGCGCACCTCCGGGGGAACGGACACACTTGAAGCTCGGACTTGGGGGGGAGGGAGGGTAAGGGCATCATACGTAACCTAATCATCTGTACCCCCATAATATGCTGAAATTAAAAAAAATAAAATAAAAAAAAAAAACACCCTCAGAGACACATTCAAAGATAATGTCTCACTAGGTACAATCAAGTGCCTAGTTATATACAATTAACCACTCCATTCTCTGTATTTGGGAATATTTATGAATATTTTTATAGAAGACTTTTTGGCTCGTGTAACATGAATCCAGATTCCTCGGTTTACAGTACTGAACACCACGTGGCTAACACTCATCCCTGCTTCATTTGAAACAGCTAAGAAAATTATATGGCTTACGTCACCCCTCTCCTCAACCCCAGAATATCCAAAGCATTTTTATTCTCAACGTTTGTCTGTATCACCCAGTACTCTGAGTTAGGAACTGGAGATGCTGTCTTTATAATCTCTTCTGGAGGCTGATTTTTCAATTATTATGACAATGTTCTTTTGCACTGTGTTTCTCTCTTACTTTGGAAGACAATGCGATATTGTATGGTCAAAAGAGTGTGGGTTTTTGAGTTAGATTCTCAGCCTGGTGGCTTACTTTTTCTTTTAGCATCAGCTTTCTTACTTGCAAAGCAGGCATGACTAATGCCTAGGTTTGCTGAGCTCTTAGCAGTGGTAAGACTAAGACATGTCTCTGGACGTTTTTGGGTAATATATTAAACAGAGCTATATCTCAGAAGTAGAAACACTTTAAGAGCTATAGAATAAAGCATTTGTTATAGGAAGTAGACCACATGCAATTGTGGGAGCAAGTAGAGAAGTCTATTCAAGCTGTGACCCCAATGTCTGGTGTGGGGTCTGAAGCTGACATACTCAGCTGGGTTGGCGATTGGGAAAGAAGTCCTGACAAGAAGTAGAAGAGAAAAGGCCAAACAGGAACCCAAGAGGATGTATTGGAACCTCCATCTGTCTCCCTGGGCCTCCATCCTCCATGATACGGGTGACGCAGGAAAAGCTGGTATGTTTTGCCATGGAGCTGCACACATACCTGGCTCAGGACTTGGAAAAGCCGAGGGAGGAAATCTCATGGGGACCAGAGGAGCTGTGAGCCCAGGTACAACCCACACCCACACCCATAAAGGGAGCTAGCAGATCAGTGATGGCTTGTGCTAGTCACTGCAGTGCTTGGCACCCTGGACCAACCTTCAAAGCCTGAATGCTGGCCTCACTGCTGCCTTCCAAATCTCATGCAAGTTACTCATGTGGCTCATGCTAACCTGCAACCCCACAGGGAAAGGAATCCTGAGAAAATGAGTTCCAGTTTAGCTAAATTTATGCAGCGTAATGTCACTACAGTAAAGATTTCCACAGTTTCTTACAGAAGTGAAGATGGATTATTACAAGAAGCACTATGGTTAGATCTGTGTATGTTTTGGGGGAGAGAGAGAGAGTGAGAGAGGGAGAGAGATATGAGTATCTTTGGATCTACTAGTTTGTAAACAGTATATAGTTTTTTTCCAAGCAGCATCTTGGTCATACACAGGGCCTAATGTCCCTGTGTATTGTTAGAAAATGAAAAAAACTTTAACCTGCAGGCACCAACTGATATTCTATCTGGACACACCAGCTAAGTAAAGAATCTTTCAGAAGTTTCTGCAGCAAACCTATTCCTGTCTGGGTATACCACGTATTATACTACACAGATACAGTTTCATGCAGTGAGAATTGTGGATTGTAGAGCAAACTGTCAACAGCGCATCATAATTATTCAACAAATGTTAGTCAAATCAAAGGAAAAAGGACAAGGCTTAAGGCTGCCTTCTAGTTATCAGCATTAACCACATTCAAACCCTGAGTTTGTTAATTAGTATAACTTATATTTATTTTGTTTTTTTTCTTGACATAAAAATGCTCAGTGTGAAATATGCAATGTGTAAATTACTGCATCCTATGATAATCATTTATGGAAGATGTTATTGGAAATCAAATAGCCTTATTCATGTGGAGAGATATGCATAGAAACAAACTAATAAAAATGTATTTATAAATCTACTAGTATGCAATCTCCACTAGCTTGTCAATATTTTATGATGTCACTTTTAAAACTTTTAAATACATTTAAATTTATCTAATTTTTTAAAAGGGCAATACATGAAAATACTAGGTTAAAATGCAGTCATGTGCAGTATAACGACATTTCAGTAAATGCTGAATCACATATATGACGGTGGTCCCATAAGATTATAAGGAAGCTGAAAAATTGCTATTGCCTAGCGATGTTGTAGCCATTGTAATGTTGTAGCACAATGCACTCCTCACATGTTTGTGGAGATGTTGGTATAAACAAAACTACTGCACGGCTAGTCATATAATAGTATAGCACCCACTATTATGTACAGTACATAATACTTGATAATGATAATAAATGACTCTGTTCCTGGTTTATGTATTTACTATACTATACTATTCTAACTTACACTATTGTTATTTTAGAGTGTACTGCTTTTACTTACATGAGAAAAGTTAACTGTAAAACAGGTCCTTCCAGCAGACAGCATCGTTATTATACATGACAGCTCCATGTGTGTTACTGTCCCTGAAGACCTTCCAGTGGGACAAGATGTGGAGGTGGAAGCCAGTGATGTTGACGGTCCTGACCCTGTGTAGATCTAGTCCTATGTGTGTGTTTGTGTCTTTGTTTTTAATGAAAAAGTTTACAAAGTAAAAATATAAATAAAAAATTTAAAAATAGAAAAAAGCTTATAGAATAAGGATAGAAAGAAAATATTTTGTACAGCTGTACAGAATGTTTCTTTTTTTTTTAGACAGTCTCACTCTCTTGCCTGGGCTAGAGTGCCCTGGTGTCAGCCTGGCTCACAGCAACCTCAAACTCCTGGGATCAAGCGATCCTCCTGCCTCAGCCTCCCAAGTAGCTGGGACTACAGGTATGCGCCACCATGCCCGGCTAATTTTTTTCTATTTTTAGTTGTTTGGCCAATTTCTTTCTATTTTTAGTAGAGACGGGGTCTCGCTCTTGCTCAGGCTGATCTCTAACTCCTGAGCCTCAAACGATCCACCCGCCTTGGCCTCCCAGAGTGCTAGGATTATAGGCGTGAGCCACCGTGCCCAGCCTCCAGAATGTTTTTCTTTTAAGCTAAATGTTGTTACAAAAGAGTCAGAAAGTTAAAAAAAATGTAAAGGTGGTTGTCGTTGTTGTTTAGAGATGTCTTGCTAAGTTACTCAGGCTAGACTCAAACTCCTAGGCTCAAGCAATCCTTCTACCTCAGCCTCCTGAGTAGCTAGGGTAAAGTTTATAAAGTCAAAAAGTTACAGTAAGCTAAGGTTAATTTATTACTGAAGAAAATTTTTTAAAAATAGATTTAGTGCAGCCGAAGCGTCCAGTGTTTATAGTCCACAGTGGTGCACAGTAGCATCCTTGGCCGTCGCGTTCCCTCGCTGACTCACCCAGAGCAACTTCCAGCCCTGCAAGCTCCGTTTGTGGTAAGTGCCCCATACAAGGCCCCATGCACCGTTTTTATCTTTTACACCGTATTTTTACTGTACCTTTTCTGTGTTTAGATGCACACATACTTACCATTGTGCTACAGTTGCCTACAGCATTCAGCACAGGAACATGCTGTGCAGGTTTGCAGCCTGGGAGCGACCGGCTGTGCCGCACAGCCTAGGTCTGTAGTAGGCTGCACCATCCAGGCTCGTGTAAGTGCACTCTACGATCTTTGCACAATGAAATTGCCTGATGATGCATTTCCCGGAATACATCCCCGTTGTTAAGGGACACACGACCGTATATAAAAATACAAGTGAAAATTCCCATGCAATCCTCCACCTGCTCAGGCTCTTCCTTTCTCCCTCAAATTGTTATTAGTTTCTTGTATATCCTTCCAGAAAGTCTTATCCATCGACACTCCAGTACAGACATAACCACCTCACCCCCGACCCTCTTGTGAAAATGGTAGAAGTCTACACACTGTCATTTTCCATCTGCTTTCACTTGCATCGTGGTGTTCTTTCCGAATCAGCGCATAAAGAAAGTCCCCATCCTTTTCTTTAGCTGCCTAGTATTCCGTCATGTATATGCACACATACAGTGGTTTATACTTTCACATTTTATGTACTACTTTCAGCTCTCTGGAGCCTGATTTTGGCTTCTCCTTCCATACCTTCTAGAAATACCTGCCATTCAGCAACCAGTAATTTTTTCTCTGTTCAGAGAGAAGCCACACAAACGATGCCGATCGCTGAATCCGAGCAGTTCTGGTACTCCCCCCGCTGTGTAGAGCCAACAGACACGCATGCTCCCGTCAGCCAGGCTCTGCGTGTCAGTGGGTGTGACCGATTCTCCCCGCTTCGCTCTCAGCGCGGAGCTCTGAGCCCGTGCGACACTATGCCCAGCTGTAAACGGGTGTGCCAAGCCCCCTGCCACATGCACTGCATTTGCCTGGGAGCGCAAGGCTGGGCCCGCCCCCGGGTAGCTCCTCTTCCAAGGTCAATCTCCCTTCGTGGTCACAATATAGTCCTGAGCCCATATGCTTAGTTTAGTTCTTAATTACATCCACTGATGTTGAAAAACACTCAGACCAAGGAAGAGACCAAAGGGACAGCAAGGACTTATAGCTGCCAAACAGGGAGGTTTTTATACCGTGGCTGCCGGAGAGCAGTGTAAAGGCCAGATGGTATGTCGTAGCATATGTTCCCCGCGAGGACAGCCCGAAGACACTCCGCACGTGGAAAGCCTGCGGCAAAAACGCCACCTGGGAAACACAAAGGGATCAAAGCAGAGGCGCTGGTGCTGAGTCCTGGAGTTGCTCCACTGTCCTGGGCAGCCCCAGGCTCTTTGAGATGTGCCCTCTTCTCTCGAGCACACCTGGACCCGAGCCCGCACTCACCCTCTGTGTGGACAGGTCTCTTCTGAGGAATCCAACAGAGCCAGGAAGGACTGGCCCTTTCCTTTCAGCTTTTAAGCAAGTCAGCAAAAGTCGCATCCGGTTGTTTAAGAATTCATTCCAGGTCTTTCACAAGGGTCCTCGGTAACAGCAATTTGGTTTCTAAACTGAAATGAATATGAGTGTGTGTGTGTTTTCCAGTTCCACGTGCCCATGTGAATGGAGTGTGTCGCGGCAACTTACATTCTTGTATTGCACTTGTTTAGAAGTCTAGCATGCACTTGCCTTACTCATACCGATTATAGTAACAGGTAACACTTACCGATTACTTACCAGGGGCCTGTCACTTTGCTAAGCACTTTACATCCATTATCTCATGTAATCACCATCAACAACTCTGTGATGTAGGTCCTATTATTATCCAAGTTTTACAGGTGAGGAAGCTGAGAATCAGAGAGGCTAAGTGACTTATCCAATGTCACACAGCTCATAAAAAGGGAAACAGGGTTGTCTGTCTCAGGAACCATCATTGTCATCAAAAAAATCATACTCAGGAGCCTCAGGCTCTCTGTGAAGGACAGTAGCATCCTCGGCCTTCGCGTTCACTCGCTGACTCACCCACAGAGTGGACTTCCGCCTTCACAGGGAAGAGTCCTGGTTCCCGGCTCTGTGCTTGGCTGTGGCTAGAGGAACACATTTCGTCATATTATAGCGGTTTGTCAGCAACTGTCTTTTCCCTGTGAGCTACTGGAAAGCAGCAACCATGTGACATTCATCTTTGCATCCCCTGCATCTGGCACAGGGCCATGGCTCAGTAAATATTGGAAGGTATCGATCATACCAGCATCAGGGTAGTGATGAGATACATCAGCTTGCCTCCCCCCTTGAACATGCAAATGGGATTTCTAAGAAGCCTAGAGAGCCCTGCCAAGTCCTACCAAGTCCCTCTTTCTAGGACTTGCTCTGTGGTTGGGAGGCTGGGTTTCTTTGCCTGGCTTAGAACCACCCAGTCCATACCTGGGCTTTTTAGTAGCCTAAGAATAAGGGAATTTGGTGCCCCAAAGAACTCCATCAATGGTAAAACATGGAATCTGAGGCCATCATGGTCTTCACTTAACCCCATCCTTCCTCTACTGTTGGCTACAAGGTGGAGGTGGGGATTCCATTTCTAAATGTAGTGATGTGGCTTTAAGACCTAGGCTTTGCTGATAAAAAAATAACTTATGTTCTTTATCTCTTCCAACGAAACGAAGATTGGTTGTATCCTATAGGTCAGTTGCTTTTGTACAAATTCTAGGTTAAGGTAGAACTTGGTGAAAGTTTTTCAAGGACTGCTGCAGAAACAAGTTAGAATTTCAGGCATATCCAAGAGTTTTCCAGAGTGAGCAATTTCTTTGGGATCATTTGCAATATATCACTCTCAATCACCTTGTCAGAAATGACAATGATTTAAACAATATTTCCACATGGCATCAGGAAAACCCTACAGTAGCATATCTACTAACAAGATTTCTCAGAGAGAATAATCTTGGGTAGATGCAATCATCTCAGGCTATCTTCCTCTTCCCATTCAATGGCTCATGCTTAACTTGAGAAACTCTCACACTCATTCTTTAAGGCCCAACGTATATGACACCTCCTCTGAGGAGCCTTCCTTGACTCCCCCAGACACAGTTGGAGGATCCCTCCTCTGTGTTCGCAGCATATTTGCAGAATAGTTTGTATGTTCACCTTTCACGGCACTTGCCACATTACATTGTGATATGTTTGTCTCTCCAGTGCACTATGAACTCCCTAGCTATTTTTATTGTTTTGAATTTTTGAATGAAAAAGTATCACATGTTCATGATACAAAAGGAATAAGAAGAAGGAGAAAAAGGAGAAGGAGGATATATAGCAAGTACTTTCCCCTCCCAACCCAGACGTCCAATGCTTCCCAGAAGCAAACTCTCTCAACAGTTTTTTCCCATCTTCCCAAATTTATCTATGTGAGCACAAACATATGTATGCAAATATATTCCTCTTTCTTAAAAAGACCACATGAATAGAACAATTCTCCATCACGGCAATATTCCAGCATAGATATGGTGCTAGGAACACAGTAGGTGTTCAATTAATACTCGTCGACTTAGTGTGAGATTATCATGTTTCCTGGTATCTACAATCCCCTGCTCTCCCTGCTGAGCTATGAAAGGGAGCAAAGGGTCCTGAGATCTAGATAGTCCTTTGGCCCTTTGATTCTCTCTTTTCCTCTCTCCCCAGCCTCTCTTGAGTGGGATACCAGGAAGGTAAAACTCCAGGCAATTCTACTACCTAGAAGCAGGAGCTTAGTGAAAAGAGAAGATTAATACTTACGGCTAAAATATACACTGCTTCCAATTTTCTCTACTGCTGCATCCACTAATGGTTCCAGATCGTAGAGAACTAATTGTGTCTTTGAAAACTGGACTCCTGGTAAGGATTATTTACTGTAAACTCAGGAATATAAAGATCACAAAGTGGAGCATGCCCCTGGCTCAGCAGTACATATTAATAAGAGCATTGTTGATGTGACTGCCATTATTTATATTTTAAAGACTGCAGTGCCGTGCTAGTTGATCCTGTCATTTCAGTTTTTGTTTTGTCTTTTTCTTTTCCACCTCAGTATCCCCAGCAGAATCATAACTTTTCACAGAGGCATCTAATTTCTTAACCTCGAAGCAGAAGAGAAACATTTTTCAAATTTTCCTCTGAGTCAAGGGGGGTTGTGGAATGTATATACTTAGATGAATTAAACTCAGACCTTCTCTGGTTGGATGTGTGAGCTGCCCAGACAAAGATGAAGGTTAACGTAGTTTAAGGATGAAATATAGACCATCCTGTGCAAAACCACGGTGTTGCAGTTTAATTAAAAGAATTCATTAAAGTGGAGCCCCATCCAGGGTAATTAGTATGCGTAATTTATGCATTGCCTTATACACAAGGGCAGTAGCCTGAATAATAAACTCAAGTTAACCTTAAGTGAAAGAGATTGAATGGTCAGATGTTTATTTAGCTCAGGTTTGCTCACGAGTTAAGGTTAAAGAGGTGAAATTCAGTTACAGTTAATTAATTAATTTCTCAGATTTTCTTCGTGAAAATCCTGCCTATTCAATTGGGTAAAAGTTTTGTCAAAGGCAAATAGCACTACTTTTATTGATCAGCTATTTTCTGACATGTCCTCCAGCAAGTTAGTAACCATGGGAAAGAACAAATTTAAGGGAACAGCCAAGAAAGAGAAAATAAGAACATACCAAATCAAACCAAACAAACCCCAAGATATGAGCACATCTGGGGTCTTGTGCATACAGAAAAATTAAACCAGGACAGATTTAAGGAGGACATCACTAACATTATCAAAATGTTGGGACTGACTAGGATAATGTCCAGTGTTTTTCAATAGTGAGCCACATGTTTGGGAATCCAATTAAGTATTTGAGCTACGTGAATTTTTATCGACAGCAACGGCAAGTGAGAGTGGCATGTGCATAACATGTCACAAATATTAACCAGCACTTCTGCAAGTTCCCTTTATTCTTCTCATTAGAAATACTTCATCATGCCCCAATTCTGTGATGTAATTTTTGTGGAATTAAACTTGAAGAGTTCAGAATTATGCAATTAATTGTATTCAGCTTCAATTATAATGACTTATTAATCAAGTCCTTTGGCAAGACACCTGGCACCCCAGACAGTGGTTGTGATGGGAAGAGGCTAGGCCCGAGAAACTTCTTGGCTCCTGTGAGCAAGCTAATTAGGTGAATTGTTATTGATTGATTGCTTTATTGGTGGCTGCGTGTAGGTAGGAGTGCTGAGGTTTAGGAGCTGGGATCAGCCAGGAAAGCCCTGATTTGGTTTTTTAGACTGGAAAGACTGAGGACTGTAATATAATCAAAATCTATCAATCACCTGATATTTATTGAGCACCAATTATATACAAAGCCCTGGGGCAGTCTCCGGGCTTCCATATTGAATCTGAGCATAAGGAAGAGGCGTTCTCCCCCTACCCACCCCGACCTCCCAGGACTAATGGTCTAGCTGGATGTTAAGACAGAAGCCCAAGCCAAGACAACCACCCGCACAGAGTTACATGAGGGCCAAATAATGGCCTTCATTTATCTGAGAGCATTTCTACCTTTGTAGAACTACCTTCCCTCCATTCCATATCATGCCGGTGGGCTGCCAACCTCCCTGCCCATTTGCCCACATGGTGGGCACATGGCCTGGCTAGGCCAATCAGATCTGCTCTTCTGTAAATGTGGATTTTAAGTGGAGAGAGATGCACAATGGGGAAGAAAGGCAGCTGGCACTAGACCGACCCCAAAGGCCTGTGAGATTCCTGGGCCTGCCATGGTTCCTTTCCAAAAGGTGATTTTTCAGCTCCTCCATGGTGTGGCCTTAGCAATGTCTTGGCAAAATCCTATTTGCTGTTTATCAACCAGAGTTAGTTTCTGAGGCATGAAATCAAAGGCTCCTGATAAAGACAGTGAATGCTTCCAAAGTTCAGAGATGGAAGCGCTTGCTTCTAGTGGGAGTGGTGCTGAGGAATAGCGCGGAGAGTTGGCGAGGCGCACTGGCCTCCGGTCTGGCTTGCTGAATACTTGCTGTCTACTGATACTACGTACGCAAAATATGCAACCTTGCAGATACGCAACAAATATCCCCATTTCACAGACAGAGAAACTCAGCTTAGCGAAGCTCTAGTACTTACTCGAGGCCACGTTATAGCAAGCTGCTGAGACCTGAACCTAAGACTTCCTGACCTTAAAGCCTGTAGTTCTCCAGCTTGTGGCCTTGGGCAAATCACTTGGCCTGTCTGGCCTCAGGTTTCTTAGTGGTAAAATTTGGAAGATAACAGCTGCCCTGCCTCCCCTGCAGGGCTGTGGTGAGGATCAAAGGGGAGAACGTCTGTGAAAGCACTTTGAAGCCCTGTCACCCCATCCGAATACTTGTGAAGGCTTCCAGTTGTTAGGTGGAGCTCCAGCTAGGATGGCAAGATTCCTAGAGGTGACAGGGAAGAGGTTGGTACAGGGTATGATCACAGGAAGAGGACGCTGGGGAGAATGGGGGAAGTCTTAGGACACAAAGAGTCACAAAGAGGTTGAGGCCAGCAGCAGGTGGAGGGCAGTGGCGTTTGACCCACCAATCCAGAACACTTCCTACTGGGGCCTGGGGAGCTTGAAGTTTGAAAGGAAGTGCCACTTGGCAGACAGTGAGTAAAAGAAAGGTCATATCTTTAAGAGGTTGAGGCATTTGCACATATATCATCTCATCAATCTTTACCACGGCTCTGGGAGGTCTGCGTCATTCCCATTTCAGAGCTGAGATTCCGTAAAGTTACGAAGCCTGCCTAATGTCACAAGTAGAAAGTATAGGAGCAGATCTTAAAACCTAGACTTACTGAGCTTTACGCACAGACTTTAACTTCCTCCGATTTTTCTGCCTACCTCCTCTCTTCTTCCTCTCCTCACCCACTAGTCATTAGCTGGAAAGAAAATGTAGACGTCCCAGTCTCACTGAATGAACATGCTGTGTGGCTTTAGATTAATCACTTAACCTCTCTGAACTTTAGGTTTTCCTGTTTGTATAATGATCTGGTTGAACTCTAAAATGCTCTCTCTCTAAGGGTTATCTCCCTTGAGGCCTTACTTAGGAAACATGCTTTCATTTGCGTAAATCTCTACCCTTAAAGATTCAGCCTCAGTGCTCCTCAGCTCTCAGCTGCACTCTAAACTACAAGTGGTAGTTGTTGTTTTTTATTTTTTCCCCAAGTGGTAGTTTTATGGCGCTGGTTGCACCACCCAAAGGAAAAGCCTCTTCTTGTAGCTTTTGCAGTAGTCTGAAAATAAACCATAGATACAATGCATTGTAAGATCACAGTTTTACAGATCAGATCAGTACCTTAGCATGGGGTGATCTGAATGTGTTTCTCTATAAGGAACAAAAGTCCCCTAATCGGTCTGATGTTCCTCATCTGGGAGGATATTGCCCTTCTCTTTTTGTCGCTTTGCCCTGTTGCCCCCTTCTCCTTAGAGACTAAAACATCTTAGTCCCAAGGATAATAATGGACAAACAAGAATGAAAATAAGTACCCAGAACTGGAAGGGATAACTTCACGTTCAATAGCGAAAGCTCCTGCGAAGCACCTACTTGCCTGACCACCCCTGGCAGAATTGCTGGACGCAGAGATGACCTTATCCAATCCTAAGATCACTAAAAGCACCAACATCTTAAGAGCTTCGCTTTAAGCAAGTTCGCAAAATGTAATTGTGGGAAAAGTATCTCACTAACAGTTTTTCATTGTAATTTTATGTCCTTTTACGTAAGAGTGTAAACTCCACGGAGGCAGAGACTCTGTTTCTTGTTCACTAGGACACAGTGCTTGGCCCATAGGAGGTAAGAAATATTGCCTGAATGCTCTGACTTTCACTCATACAAAGCTCTTCAAACGGTTACAGGCTTGTAGATTTTAAAAGGGGCAGGGGTAGGGTGGGTAAGGAAGAAGCATACTGTTTTTCCAGTTCGGTTATGTACGTGATCACGCCGAGCAATGCACCACACCATCACGGCACACACGGCTCCTTCGTCGCTTGACTGCGTGACCTTGGGCAGGCCACTAAACCTCACCGTGTGTCAGTTTCTTCCTGTAAAATGTGGATAACAGGCCAGGTGTGGTGGCTCACACCTGTGACCCTAGCACTTTGGGAGGCCAAGGCGGGAGGATCACCGGAGGCCTGGTGTTTGAGGCTGCAGCGAGCTGTGATCGTGCCACCGTACTCCAGCCAGGGGGAAGTACAAAGAGCAAGACTCTGTCTCTAAACAAACAAACAAACAAACAAACAAAAGTGAATAACAATAAACAAAACTGTTTTGAAGAATAATTGAGATGTCTTTGAGAGTACCTAACAAAATGCCTCATTTTCCTGCAGTCCACAGCTCTGCTGTTCAATAACACGTGTGGCTACTAAGCACTTGAAATGAAACTACTGAGACTGAGGAATTAAAATTTTAATTGTATTTAATTCTAATTAATTTAAATTTAAATACCAAAACATTGTAAAATATTTTCCCCTTAAACACAAGTTTAAGGTAAGCATTTCATTTTACCTATCGCGTTGCATAAGCTATTATCATTAAGTTGTAGCGTGTGTATCAGGAGCCAGCATCATTTCTAGTTTTATGCATAAACACGTCACTGATCCAGGCAATGGACAGATTGATTCAGTTCAAATGATTTTTTTCCTATGCACTAATGTAACATCATAATGCGTTTATTTGAATATTTCATGCGGAGAGCTCAAGTTATAGTGATTCCTATGTAAATCGCAATTGGTAATTGAATTGAACTACTTATTTTAATTATAATATAATTAAATTATGTTTCTAGTTAAAAAAACAAGTATGGACAAATCATAAAATTTAAAACGAAGGCATACTACTGATGTGGAATTGAGTGGAGATGCAGAAGCTAGTACAATGACCAGAACGGTAAAGAATAAAAGAGGCTAGAAGAAGGTATTTTCCAAATTTCACAGTTGCAGTTGGCTGCTGTAGAGCTAAACAAAAAAGCTGTTAAGTTAAAAAAAAAAAAAAAAATGGATAATAAAAAAAAATTTAAAGCAAATACACTGAAATTTGTTTTCTCTCAACAGCTAAAAAAGAATTAAAGAAATTAATCACTTGAAATCAGAATTAAATGTTTAACAAAAAGGTCTTAAACAGTTTTTGACAGGATCCAAGCTTGCAACTTTGGCCAGATATAAAATGGTTTGAATTCTTTTACAAAAAAAGAAAACCATGTTTAGATGGAGAGATGGTAGAAGAAATTCTTTCACTTATGCAAATTTTGTTAGAAAATTATGAGGAAAAGACTAAAAATATTTTACGAAAAGTGAAAAATTTCAATTA